TGTTTGTATACGTTCGAGATTGAAACGACTCGATAGGGCGAAAGTTGAGAGTGAGATTTATATCTCGATGGCGCCGAGTCTCAATTATCGGTAGCCAGAAATGATCTATGGTGTACGCGCCGTCACGATATACGTAAGTTGTTTGAGCGATGAGACGACGTTCTTTCAAACTTCTAAATGATAATGGAAATATTCTCGGCAGGTACTTGTACCTCGGGGGAGGGAAAGTGTAGCGCGAAAGAGGGAGACCGGCGGACGAGGAAGCGGTAAAGCGGTTTAGCAAACAGGATCGAATGACGACTCGGCGAGCGAGCTTCCGTCGAGCGATCATCTATTTCCGGCAGTCAGCTGCACCTCGGCGCGCGACACTTTTAATAGTCGCGCGCGAGCGCGAGCTTAATTCGACGTTAATGAGATCCAACAATTCCAGGCCGATCGGATATCAGGCGGAGAGAGCGGCAATCGCGTTATCGCGAGCGATGACGGGCGGCTCCCCGATGCATAACTGCCCCTGATTGTTGTCAATTTGTATAATTATACAATACGGGTGTACTGTCGCGTGCACGCGCCCATAACTCGCGGAACGCGTGTACCCCGTCGAATGCAGCGCGCATAGATGCAAGCTGATGCGTGACGTTAATAGAGTAGCAATTCAATTGTCATTTTGCACAAAAGTCCGCGTGTGTGCCGTATAAATTTCGCCCGTCGCGAGCGTTGTACACTCAGATATCATTCGTCATAATATTGTGTAACTTAAAACACGAGTAATGTCACGATGTCGCGTCTCTATGAATATTACATAAGGATATTAATGCTTTTGAGTTGTGCATTGCTAATCGGATTTTATCGACTCGTATCGACTAGTCTCTCTCGATAATATTAAGTCCCGCTCTCGAAATTAAATTTCCCTTTAACATACCGAAGCCAAACAGAAGCCGGAAGGAACGACAGAGAACGCGAGAGAGAGAGAGAGAGAGAGAGAGAGGGGGGAGGAGAGGGAGAGAGAGAGAGATCCTTTCGACGGGCTCGGGAGACTTTAGTCGTACGCGGAAAAGTCGTGTTCCCTCGCTGCAGAAGCGCGCGCTGCAGAAATTATGCGAATCCTTGGAATTTTCAGGTTCTGAAACTTTAAAGGGTAAGCAACGTCGTCGGAAGTTTGCCGGGGGGACGGGGGGCACGCGGGATAACGGCGGCACGTGCGGCACGAGTGGCGAAAGTATCGTCGACGTGCAACGTCGTCGGGATGCAACGTCAATTAATGCATCGAAATTGCGTTATACGTCGGCGCAGCTTTTACGGCGTACACCAAGTGCCCGAACGTCTCTCCGCGCAAAGTGGCTCGGGCGAAACGCGGCACCGCGGGCGCATCGGCGGAACGGAATTGTATATGTTTCCCGGCTGAAAGTGCATTGCGGCACCGTAAATGCATGCGATGGAGTGCGCGCGAAAACCGAGGCAATTTTCCCCGGCGCAACCCTATACGTGTGTACGCTACTTTGTATTATTTTACCGCAATTATTTCCCGGCGAGGCAACGTACAGCCCGGAACAATTTAGCTGCGGGATCTTTTCCCCGACGCGCCTGTTTGCGAGTCTCCGTTTGACTGAAGATAGAAAAGCGTCGAGACGAAATTACAAAAAGCTTATTTGCTCGGCGCGCTGTGATCGAGCGTAATTTTTCAGATAATGGAGTGTATGAAAGGGTATATTTTCCACTTGTTCCAGACGAGTCAGAAATGACTGAGGAACGGAATGGCTCGTTATTGATGGTAATTTTACGTAAAAGTTGAAACTGTAGAATAAAATTTCCGCACAAGATTTTATCTTCCACCGTGTTACTCGGGGAATTAATGTCTTTTCGTTCAAGTGTGAAAAATTTGCAACGCAAACTATCAAATTCCATCCGAAAACAAAAGAATTCGATATACTATTTTTAAAAATAATAAATATTTCTTGTGGCCTTAGAGAGATGTGTGTAAAATATTAATTTTAAATAATATTTTTTAATTAAAAATATTACATTTTTCTCGTATTTAAAAAACGGCAATAGAAAGAGGGAGAGAGAGGGAGGGAGAAAGAGCGAGGTCATTGTTAAAACAAATTCATCAACTTGGAACATCATTGAAAATTGCGAATTGAAAAAAAAAGAGAGAACAGACGCTCCTCTAATTTTCTGATTTTCAAATCCAATTTTCGCGAAAACAAAGCTTCGTTTGAAAAAGTTTCGCCCCACTTTCTCGCCGCGGCCTCAGAATCACCGCCAATAACCGTCTCGCGCGCGGCTTGGCAGCGATCTCGCGCGGAGTGCGATCGCGGAGTGCGGTGCCAAGGCGGGGGCCGCGCGGCGGGCGAAAATAAGAAAATCACGTTGTTTCGCGGCAACGTTTATTAAATAGAGGGGACAAATTGCCTATTTTTACAAGGGTTGCGAAACGGTCGGCGTAAAGCGGTCGCAGTGGAGCGCCGTGGCGCGAGTCGGACATGCGCGGCGCGGCGCAGGGTGGGCGCGCGGCAGTGAAAGAGCTCGAGGGCGAAACCCACGTTTCAGTCCGTCGCGTGTGTTGCTACGGCTCGTATACGGTGCACCGCTCTCTCCGCAGTGCTCTCTCAGCGATCTCGGTGATCTCTGTCGGGGCGGGGAGGTTGTAATGCCGTGACCCTCCGTGATGCCGTGAGAGGAAAGAGAGAGAGAGAGAGATAGAGAGAGAGAGAGAGAGAGAGAGCGCGAAAGCCACGCGTTACGTACGCGGTCCTAGAAGGACCGGGGTGCGGTGGTGGTGCGAGAGTCCCGCTCGCCGAGGGGGCGAGATGACGTCTCGACCCCGTCGCTCGTCGCGGATCGCCGCTCCTCGCGCGTAAACCCAAATTCCGCTCGTCAAATTCCCGCCCGACGTCGATATCGGATCTCGCCCGAGATCGTCCCTCCGCGTCGCGCGTCCCCCGAGCCGACCAATTTCGCCCCCCCCTCCCCCGCGAAACGTTTCCGTTCGAGCGACACGGGATACGCGACACGGTCGCCCGATTCACGGAACTGCAGTTTGTAACGTTTGAGCTGGCAACTTGTCCCGCGAGAGAAACAGCTGTCGCGGAGAGAGAGAGAGAGAGAGAGGGATCCGGTCGCGAGATTGGAATTTGAATTCTCACGAGAGAGAGAGAGAGGAGAGAGAGAGAGAGAGAGAGAGAGAGAGAGAGAGAGAGAGAGAGAGAGAGAGAGAGA